ATGTATAGCAAACAATTAGAGTAAGGATTCAGTGCAATTGTTTAGAAGTTTTCCTTTTTCAGTGTTCTGGAGAACTGGAATCACCTGTGGTGTAAAAGTTTGGAAAAATCTCTGGAAAGACTGCTGCTTTACAGGAAGGTAGCTTAGTGACAGCTTTCCCTGTGAAAATGTTCTGTTTGGGCTTTGCTTTTTGAGCCAATGGTCTTTTTAACTTTTGGGTGGGACTGCTTTTTGTTCGTTTGTTCCCAGTTTGTTGTAGAGGTCTCGAGTGCCCTACGGGGCCCTCCACAGGCACATCTTTCGTTCTGCTTACAGCCTGGTTCTTGGACCTCGGTGGGGGTTAATGCTACAGCCAGCAGCTCCAAATATAGGGGCCAGAGCCTGCCCAGCCATCCCATAGTCATCTCATGGACTATCCTGATGGCTGCCTTATAGCTACTTCTGCTTGCCAAACTGAGGGTCCTCTGCCAAAAATAATGGCTTCCAGATCTGCTAGGACCTCTTATGGTGTGTGTGCACCGTGGTTCTCTCTACTTAGGTTTATTACTAATATGCTTCCATTTCCTATCTTCCAGAAATTTATCAAAGTTGCTGGTCTGCTGTTGTCCTCAGTACTGCTATGGTTATATTACTTTTCGTCATTTTGGTGGGAAGGAGCGCGGACAAATGTGTGTGCGTATGTCTCCCATCCGTAGCTGGTGATTTGCATTGGTCCTTAAGAATGTGAAGGGAATATATAGAAAAATGATTTGGGATAGATAAAATTTTTTAGATTCAGAGGTTAGAAAATGAATTGGCTAATATGTAGCATGGTATCCAGGGCAGACATGTGTCTGGCTTATTCTACTTTTCATAGCTGTTTAGTTACGGTGATGGGATCAACATTATTGGGTGTGTGTGTGTGTGTTTTAAAATACTTTAAGTTCTGGGATACATGTGCAGAACATGCAGGTTTGTTACATAGATATACATGTGCCATGGTGGTTTGCTGCACCCATCAACTCATCTACATTAGGTGTTTCTCCAGTGCTATCCCTCCCCTAGCTTCCCACCTGCTGATAGGCCTCAATGTGTGATGTTCCCCTGCCTGTGTCCATGTGTTCTCATTGTTCAACTCCCACTTAGGAGTGAGAACATGTGGTGTTTGGTTTTCTGTTCTTGTGTTAGTTTGCTGAGAATGATGGTTTCGAGCTTCATCCATGTCCCTGCAAAGGACATGAATTCATCCTTTTTTATGGCTGTGTATTCTATGGCGTATATGTGCCACATTTTCTTTATCTAGTCTATCATTGATGGGCAATTGGGTTGGTTCCAGGTCTTTGCTATTGTGAACAGTGCTGCAGTAAACATACATGTGCATGTGTCTTTGTAGTAGAGTGATTGATAGTCTTTGGGTATACACCCAGTAATAGGATTGCTGGGTCAAATAGTATTTCTAGTTCTAGATCCCTGAGGAATCACCACACTGTCTTCCACAATGGTTTAACTAATTTATACTTCCACCAGCAGTGTAAAAGCATTCCTTTTTCTCCACATCCTCTCCAGCATCTGTTGTTTCCTGACTTTTTAGTGATTGCCATTCTAACTGGCATGAGATGTTGTCTCATTGTCGCTTTGATTTGCATTTCTCTAATGAACAGTGATGATGAGCTTTTTTTATGTTTGTTGGCTGCATAATCTCTTCTTTTGAGAAGTGTCTGTTCATATCCTTCACCCACTTTTGGATGGGGTTGTTTTTTTCTTATAAATTCCTTGTATATTCTGGATATTAGCCCCTTGTCAGATGGATAGATTGCAAAAATTTTCTCCCATTCTGTAGGTTGCCTGTTCACTCTGATGATAGTTTCTTTTGCTGTGCAGAAGCTCTTTCGTTTATTAGATCCCATTTGTCAATTTTGGCTTTTGTTGCCATTCCTTTTGGTGTTTCAGTTATAAAATCTTTGCCCATGCCTATGTCCTGAATGGTATTGCCTAGGTTTTCTTCTAGGGTTTTTATGGTTTTAGGTCTTATGTTTAAATCTTTAATCCATCTTCATTTTTGTATAATGTGCAAGGAAGGCATCGAGTTTCACTTTTCTGCATGTGACTCGCCAGTTTTTCCAAACCCATTGCTTGTTTTTGTCTGTTGGGTGTTTTTTTTTTTTTTTTTTTTTTTTTTTTTTTTTTTTTTTTGTAATACAAGGAAAAATATGTTGAATTCTTTTTAAAGATTCTCTTAAGCGTGTGGAATGTGAGAAAATAGAATTTAAAATGGTTTTTCTAGTTATGTCAGTGGGGAGTCTTACGTCATCCATACTTTAGTTTCTAATGGTTATCTGCAGTTATGTGAATATAGGAAGCAACCTGTAATTTCACATTTTTGTCTTACATTAGGAAAAATGTGTTCACCTTAAATTCTAATACAATTATGATACAAAAGGCTGCTTTGGGGAGATAATCCGAACATGTAAAAATGAAAACATGTTTTAAACGTAGAGTCTGCGCAAGTAGCAAAATTGTTTTTATTGAAACATTTTCCTATTGTATTCCTTCAAGGTATATTTCCTTATTAAGCTGTGTGTCATGCTGTGGGTGTTAATTGTAAAGTTAAACCTTACTAATATTTATGATGGTTGTTTTTATACTAAATTGGGAGAAGTTTTTGATGTGCCTGGGGGTTGGGCCACAGTAACATTTAATGTTGATGCACTGATGTGAGAACTCACTGTTAAGATAAAAGATCGAAGGGTCCCCCTCCCACCACCACAGGGCCAAAGGTGGTGGCGGTTCGTTTTTCTATGCAGTGTAGCCTGTCTAAATTTGTTTGTCTTGTTGTAGAACTTTTTCCTTAGTTCAGCTAAAGACTGGTTCCTTGTCACATAGCCACGAAAAATTAGGCTCACAGACAGTTTGAGGAGGTAAGGATTTATCAGGTGAAAAGAAAGAGTGGGAAATGGAGCCTCTCGCGGCCAGAGTCCCTGCTAGTGTGCTTCCCACCTCACAGATTGAATCCCAGGTTCCACGCAGTAAGAGGAGGGGCCCGGCTCCTCCCCACTGCCAAGGGCCGCAGGAACTTCCTGAGGCTCCACCCCAGTGCACGGGCCTGTTGGAGTTTTTCCAGGCACCCCTTTGCAGCATTTGGCTGTCTCAGTCTTACTCTAATATCTTTCTCATTTTAATCTGTCCAAAGTGCCTTACATTTCCTCCATGTTTAGCTTTTGCCAAGATGAGTGTTCAGATGTCTTTTCTCCCAGTGAAATGCATTTTCATAAAAACTAGAGTTTGAACCCAGCAATCTATTATTAGAATTATCTATCCAGGGAGAACATTGAGAAAAATTTGAGTGGGGGCTTCCCTAGACTATCCCCAGATTTGGTGATCTGGCAAGAAGACACACAGAACTCAGCATACAGTTGTACTCAGGGTTCTCATTCCAGTGAAAAGGCGAAGTCAGCACAGGGAAAAGGTGCAAGACGGAAAATCTGGAGGAAAGCAGGCAGAAGATTGCAGGACTCCTCTCCCTGTGATGTCACAAAGGACAAGCTTACTTTTCCCAGCACTGAGAAACTCTACAAAGTATGAAATGTTGTCTATCAGGGAAGCTCATTAGAGACATTGCACCCAGAGTTTTTGTTGGGGCCTAGTCACTAGATACCTTCTGCCTGGCCTGCACCAAAATTCAAGACCCCAGAAGGAAAGATGTTTAGCATAATCTATATTTTTCATAGAAACAGTTTAGGCATGAGTCATTCTTAGCATGGAATGTTGGGAACACTCCTGAAATCCGGCTTCCCAGCCATCAGCAGTAAGCCAGCCTTGTCAGCAGGCTTTTGTAAGGATAGCAGTCTCAGGCCTGCTGCGTTGACTCTCTTCTCCATGATCTTAGATACCCAGGTGCCTTGTATTTTCTAACTATTTAAAATGCTGTGTATTAGCTGGGCGTGGTGGTACGTGCATTAGTCCCAGCTACTTCATGGGCCTGAGACAGAAGTATGGCTTGTGCCTGGGAGGTTGAGGCTGTAGTGAGCCGAAGTGATAGAGATCCTGTCTCTTAAAAATTAAAAAAACAAAAAACGACAACAAAAAAAGCACAAATAAAATGAAAGATGCAATGTGGATAGTCACCAGACTCCCTATACTGGGACTGTATGTGTTTTGCATTTTGATTGACACTTAGGTTTGTAGTAGTAGTAAGGCCTGTGGGTTACTCAGTCATTTGGATTGTGGACAGTTCCTTCTGTTCCCTTTCCTTCTATAAATTTTTTTTTCTAGCTTCCCATTGGCCAAACCCACCTCCTGCTCCCTTTCTAAACATCTAATTCTTTTGCACTGTTGTCAATCCATACCTGACCAGGACATTTTATCACTATCTTTCTTTCCTGTGTAACAATCACTTCAGTCTTAGTGGTGGTAAAATTGCTCTGGATAAATTGCTGATATTAACATATTTACCCCGAGGGTATGGGGAGATAATGCAGGAGGGTGGGCAGGAAAACAGCAGTACATTTTGTTGAATGAGAATAATAAACTACCAAAACTCAGTCTTATGCCTTTTAAACTTTTTTGCCTTTTTTGAGATGGGAGTCTCACTCTGTTACCCAGGCTGGAGTGCAACTTCCGCCCCCTGGGTTCAAGCGATTCTCCTGCCTCAGCTTCTGGAGTAGCTGGGACTACAGGCATGTGCCACCATGCCTGGCTAATATTTTTTTGTTTTTGTTTTCAGTAGAGACAGGTTTTGCTATGTTGGCCAGGCTGGTCTTGAACTCCTGACCTCGTGATCCGCCCACCTCAGCCTCTCAAAATGCTGGGATTACAGGCACAAGCCCCTGCACCCAGCCTCTTTTAAATATATATATTTTTAATCAAAGTTACTAAGGGGATGTCATTTAAGGTTTTTGGCAATAATGGCCAAAGAGTGAAAGGGTTGGGGGATGATAACTTTAGCATCAATTTTACAGGATAAGCAAAGGCAACAAATGATAATTTGCCTTAACAATATTATCTTAAACATATTTTGACAGCTATTCAGGATTATGAAACTGCACAGGAACACAATGAAAATGATCAGCAGATTCGAGAAGGTCTAGAGAAAGCACAAAGATTATTGAAACAGTCGCAGAAACGAGATTATTATAAAATCTTGGGAGTAAAAAGGTGAATTATTAATTTAAAATTTACTTTGCTATTTTTAATCAACTGTTTCAAAGGTAATCATTGCTTTTTTTCCCTCTGATTCATTTTGTTATGTAATTTCAGTCATATGGATTAAACCCTAACAATCTTAACATTACAGAGCTATTCTGAGTGTGTTATAGGCAAGTTTCTTTGATAGACACCAATAATGCAACAACAGAGAATTAGTAGTTGGCGACAGAGATATGACACTGTAGCATGAATGGGTCCCAGGCCTAGATTTTTTAAGAAGGGTAAAGGGGTAGGAGTGAGCTTTCTTTTGGTGGGGATGGAGGAGGAGAGGGAATGGGGAAAGAAAAAGCCTCCTCTAGGCCTAAATATAAAGTAGTGCTTTCAGAATTAAGTCTGAAATTAAGATTTACCTTATATAAAAGTACATATTAAGTAAATGATATACTTCCCCATAGTTAGCTAAGTGTAACAGCAATCTTTCAATCAAAATTTGGGATATTTGTGTTTACTATTAAGTAAGCTAATGTAGAAACATAATTGAAAGTGAGGTTCAGAGTCAAATAATCTTTTTAATGCCGAGAATTGAATTATGGTAGCTTGTAAATTCAGAAAGTTAAACAATTCATTGATGTACCTTTTTTAAAAAAGGGAAAATTCTAAAGATCAGGAGTGATTTATTCCTAGTAATCTTAGTGAGCGAGTACTCAAGCCTGATGTCAGCTTTAATGATCATCGAGAACTGTGTGTGCAGATCCTTGGCCTATGAGACCATTGGAACTATTTTACAAAACCAGTTTGTTTATTGGCAGTAGGATCTTAATCAATTCTGATTCTTATGATAGTATGTTAGACTCGTCTCGACTAATGATTATTTTCTTACCACCCCTCAGAAATGCCAAAAAGCAAGAAATCATTAAAGCATACCGAAAATTGGCACTGCAGTGGCACCCAGATAACTTCCAGAATGAAGAAGAAAAGAAAAAAGCTGAGAAAAAGTTCATTGATATAGCAGCTGCTAAAGAAGTCCTCTCTGATCCAGGTATTATTGGCCTTTATCCCTTTCACTCATCCTAGAGGTGGTGTTAGAAGTGAGGGTGGAGCGGTGATCGGTTCCCCATGTGGCGCTGTATAGGCAGTGACTGGTCCTGAACCCAGTTCCAGAATTGTAGTTTTATGCCTGCCCTTATCCAGCCCTCTTATGCTGGGGAGCCCCTCATTGCAGGGTACGGTGGAAAGACCATCAAACGTGGAATCAGAGGGCTTGAGTTTGAATCTTTTTTCTACTCAAACAACTTCTCAGAACTTTTTGGTCTCAGTTTTTTCAACATGGAGGATAACAGTATCTCAGGTTCCTTCTAACCTCAGAGGTCAACGATGAATTCTCTCTACCAAGCTCACAGGAGCTGGATGAGGAAACCAGCTTGCCAGGCTGGATTGCACAGGGTAGAAGAGCAGATGTCTAGCCTAGGGCCTGCTTCACCCCATGTGTGTTCACCAGGAATCTTGGCCTAAATCAAATGATTGTTAGATTTACTGGTTTACGTGTGTGTTCTTTTTCTAAATATTTGCTTTTTGTAGAAGTGGGGTCTCGTTATGTTGTCCAGGCTGGTCTTTAACTCCTAGGCTCAAGTGATCTTCCCAACTCAGCCTCCCAAAGTTCTGAGATTACAGGTGTGAGCCTCTGCACCTGGCCACATGTATTCTTTTGCCATACAATAATATGGCCTGGAAATTTCATAACAGGGAGACAGGCTAAGCATTGAGGTAATATTGGACAATGCTTTGCTGTTGCCAGAGGGAATTTCATGTTAAGCTGACACTTACCGCTTTTTTGTGGCATTCCATGTCAGTGGGAGCAGAAGCTGTGATCTGAGCCAGACAAATGAAACAAAGAGACGAAAATGTTATGTTTATTTGTCAAATCTTTTTCTTGAGCACCTACTTATGGAATGGAATTGAAGGTAAATAATCCTTTATTTTCAAGTAATTTATAATCCAGGAAAGGAGACGGAAATGTACTTCCCTTATCAAATAGTGTAGGATACATACTGTCCTGTTACTTAGCAAATATTGAGTGCCTACAACCTGCCTTGAGCAGTTCAATCCTCTTAGTTTGTGCAGTGCACAGGTGTAGTAGTGTATCAGAGTGGGAGTCAGGATCTTCTTATGGGATGGGGACTCTTGGTCTAAGCTTTAAGGTAGCAGGGAGCTAACCAAGGGGATGGGTGTCCCTGCACAGAGACATGCATTTAGGAAAGAGCTGCAGGTCCTTTTACTTAGCTCCTGTTCTTATGTTCAGGATGAACTCTCTTTTCTTTTAAAGACTTTAAAGTTTTTCTACTGTACATATATCAAAACACATGTATCATTATCACCCCCATCACTATGCAGAGTTTACCACTATTCTAAGAAGTGCTAACACCCTAGATGGATTTTGCCTGTGAGATATCAAAGATATGGGGCCTGAGTCTAAGTGCATTAGCTTTTATAAAACAAAGCTGAGTTTCAGATCAACTATAATACCTGCTTAGTTATTAACCCTCAGCATAAGAACCCTCCATTTTACTGGTGGGTTTCCTCCTCCTCATTTGTGGCTTCAGATTAACCTCCCAGAATGAAATAAACTGGCTTTTCTGTAAGTATCTTTGAATGCCTAAAGGACAAGTTTCTGTGAGACAGCAAAGTGGGTCTTGTGGTTATTTTTATATTTACATTTTTTCTGCATTCTCTATTTTCTATTTATCAAAAAAACCTAGCTATATGCTGAGTATTTTTTTAAGTTCAGTGGTACATGTGCAGGTTTGTTACATAGGTAAATGTGCATTATGGGGGTTTATTGTACAGATTTTTTAACACCCAGGTATTAAGTTTAATACCCATTAGTTGTTTTTCCTGATCCGTTCCTACTTACAAGTGAGAACATGTGGTATTTGTTTTTCTGTTCCTGCATTAGTTTGCTAAGGATAATGGCTCCAGCTCCATCCATGTCCCTGCAAAGGACATGGCCTTGTTCTTTTTTTATGGGTGCATAGTATTCCACTGTGTATATGTACCACATTTTCTTTAGTCTACTGACAGGCGTTTAGGTTGATTCCATGTCTTTGCTGTTGTGAATAGAGGTGCAGTAAACAGACATGTGCATGTGTCTTTATAATAGAACAATTTATATTCTTTTGGGTGCATACCTAGTGATGGGATTGCTGGGTTGAATGGTATTTCAGTCTTGAAGGAATTGCCACACCGTCTTCCACAATGGCTGAATGAATTTACACTTCCACCAATAGTATATAAGCATTCCTTTTTCTACACAACCTTGCCAGCATCTGTTGTTGTTGTTGTTGTTGGTTTTTTTGACTTTCTGATTTGCATTTCTCTAATGATTAGTGATGTTGAGCTTTTTTTCCTATGATTGTTGGCTGCATGTATGTCTTCTCTTGAGAAGTGTCTGTTCATGTCCTTTGCTCACTTTTTAATGGGGTTGGTTTTTTCTTATAAATTTGTTTAAGTTCCTTGTAGAACTTTGTCAGCTGCATAGTTTGCAAAATTTTTCTCCCTTTCTGTAGGTTGTGTTTACTCTGCTGATGGTTTCTTTTGCTTTGCAGAAGTTCTTTAGTTTAATTACATCCCATAATTTTTGCTTTTGTTGCAGTTTAAGGATGGAAACGCCAAGAGCAATCTTTGCCCATATGTTCTGACTACTCTTTGCCTTGGTTGTCTTCCAGGGTTTTTCTAATGGCTCTGAGGACATGAGCTCTTTCTTCCTATCCCTGCAGTATTCCTCTCTGTTGTCTTCTCCCATGTGTCTGCATTGGTCTTTTTCTGCTTAGGGCTCAGAGGCCCCGCCATTGGGGCACCAATTGCCTGGGAGGGAAAAGTGAGCCTCCTGGAGTTGTATGTTGTGGAGGCCCCTCTCCCCTCATGTCTGAGGAGCCTTAGTGCTGTTTGGATTAAACAGGCTCTATGGTGCCCATTAGGTACTTGATGAAGTCATTGCTTTATAGACTATTTTGGGGATTAGGGTGGTGATCTGGCTGTTTCATTAGAAGACCAGACTTTTGGAAGTTTCTTTCTCTCAAATTACTTTTTTCTAAGTAATTTCATTGGGTAGTTACCAAGCTTGGGTAGCTTCTTCTGGGGTGAGATTTGGGGGTGTGAATTTCAGTGAATACCTATTTTCAACCCTGAACCTCACCCTTTTTGTGGCGAATTTCTACAGTCTGTTTCTTCTGGGTGGGAATGGGAGAGCCTGGATTTGAATGTCAGGCAAGACTCTTGATAACTGAAAAGTATGTAGCCCCTCAAACCCACCCATCCTCCTCTGCCCAGAAAAAATACTCCCCGTGCCACTGTACCTTAGTTATTACCTGGTTCTTAATTTGCTGATTTCTTTCTAGAAATGAGGAAGAAGTTTGACGACGGAGAAGATCCCCTGGATGCAGAGAGCCAGCAAGGAGGCGGCGGCAACCCTTTCCACAGAAGCTGGAACTCATGGCAAGGGTTCAATCCCTTCAGCTCAGGCGGACCATTTAGATTTAAATTCCACTTCAATTAAACCAACTGTTTTTCTGCTCTTCTTCCTTAATTTTTTAAAAGATTAAAAACAAACAAATCTTGTTTCGGGACCCTAATGAAAAGAAAATTCAAATATCTTTCAGTTTGTCCATGACCAAAGAGTTGCTTTAATAGGAAAAAATCTGTTCTTATCCCTGTTAGATTTATGGTTAATGGGTTTGCAGTGGGCAGGGAGGCAAGGAATGGTTCTGTTTCTGACAAAGCAGCCTGCATACATTTTATGCTGCCTGGAGGAAGTGGTCTGAGGCGGGTTCACCTGTGGAAGTGCCCAGGTATTCTGTGTTTTTCTACACTGGAGCTGAGATTCTTCTCCTCTTCACAGCCTTGCAGAGTAAGTCAGTGCTTACAAGTGTAGTTATGCGTCCGTATTCTTAAAGAGAATATGAACATTTTGAGCTGTACATTCTTAGGGACAACTGTGCTTCGATGTGGTCAATCTAGTCACTTGCGAGTGGGAAATCTTTAGTATGCACGTCTTTATACCTCTCTGGTCTGTCAACATGGTTGTCACTGAAGGAGGAGCAAGAGACCATCTTTTAGGAATCGTGCCACCAAATGATAATATATCCAGGTTTAGACTTTGGATTAATGTTAAATGTACATTTTTTTTTTTTGATTCAATACCTGCAGAAGAATACTGAAACTTGAATTTATGACTATCTATGAACCCTTTTAATATTAAACAGAACAAATTAAAGCTATAGGTAAAGCAGGTTCAAATAAAATAGTGGTAGTATTTAAAATATTGCTCAAGTGCAGATTGAAATACTTTTTCAAGAACTGAAGTTCTGAGTTTTTATAGAGAATTTCGTGTAACAGGATTGGCTTAGAAACGTAAAGTTTCTTGGTCAACATAAACACAGAATGCGATTCCCACTTTTAAGTAAAGACAGTGGGGCAGCTTCTTTCTCCTTCTTTTATATCAAACCTTGACCTTATTTTAAAGTGCTGTGGTCCCCCATGTGGACCTGTCTGGTGGTATGTGGTAAGCAGCAGACCTGCCCTCCTACCAGATCTTGATGCCTCTAGATGTTCTCCTGCCTACAAGAAAATACAGGCCTGCAAGTTTAGTCAGGTCTGTCTGTATTTTCACTATTGTTTCATTTAATAAAATGGCATCTCCTCTTGAGATATTCTTCTTACCTTTTAAGAAGATAACTATTTGAGAAATGAACTAGTCTGTCTTTGTATACTGAATACTTCTTCCCTAAAAAATGTTACTTTAATCAAGAATACTGAATATTTGTGGAATTATTGATGCTGCATTTGAAAGCTGAGGGAATTACTTTAGATAGGAATTCTCACCTTGAAATCAGGCATTTTAATTCACTGTGGGAGGCATCCTGACCATGGACATACATAACAGCAGAGCACAAATTATATTTCGTCTGTAGTCATATCCTGAAACATATGTGGACAAAATTTTTAAGTGAGAGAAACCACGTAGTTAAATTGAGGAAAACACTTAAGTGCTTTCTGCATCTATTTTGGAGTCTATTTCTTTACCAACTAACAATGCATTTGGAAAACTAGGAACTCCTTGCAGCTTTCATTTTGCTTTAATGCTTCAGTTTAAGCCAGTATAAAAATAATTTCCAAGGTGTTTCTGTCTATTCTTTAACTGATCTCACTACTGGCTATATTAGCAATATCTTTTTCAATCTGGCTCCTTTTGTATATGATATCACTGTGACCTCTGAAATTTAGTGATGGCTTTTACCTACTTTGAATAAGAATTTTCACATAAAATCAGAAGAAAAGGAAATAAATCACTTGCCCTTCCACTTGGAGAGCATGACAGCTGCCAACAGCAAGGGGTCCAGGGCCGCATAGGAGATGTGTCCACGGCCGGGCTGCCTCCCACCTGCTGCCCAGAGGCTTATTTGCATTTTCATTTTTCTCCACTTGTAACAACCATAGTTTCAGCTCCTAAATTCTTATCATGGATTTAACTTAGTTATCATAACTGATGTGCAGATTTACTTGCCTGTTTTCAGTGAAGAGAGAGCAGCAGCTCTGGTGCCACATGCCAGCGCCATGGAAGGAAATGAATTCTCTGCAATGTGTTGTTTCGCTGATTCATGAAGAAAGTAACAACCGTCGAGTTCTAGTCTTGACAGGCATCGGCAATTTTCTCTCCCAAATGGAAAGACGGTCACTGCTCGCTTCCCTTAAAGTGTGACTGAGAAAAAGCCTGGATGTGTAAAGAGATAATCATTCCCCCTGCCTGTCTGGCATAGGGTGTCATGATGCATTGTAAAACCGTACTACTGAAAAGGCATTTTCCTTTTTTGAAGAGGGCTACTTTTATTTTCCCTTGGGGACTGCAGGTGCCAGGTAACCTTTATGGCTCTTTCAGGAAAAGTCAAATCAGAGAGTGAGGTACCCTAGCTTTAGTGTTGTTAGTCTGCTCCTACCTTCTTTCCTTTTTGGTGAGCTCCATGAGTGGAGTTATCAGTGGTCTGTACTTTGTGGGTATTTTGCCCAGCACGAAGTATTAGACATCAGTCTAGAAGCATTGTGAAAAAGTTCCAAAAAGGAGAGGATTAAATTTAATTGATTCCTCAGTTCTGAACGTTTGTGCTTTCTTACCATATTGAATAGATGAAAACTTGAAAAAAATTTTGATAGTTGACTAATGGGAATTGGATGTAACATACTACTAATTCTACAGTGTCTCTCTTTAGTCAGTATTAAAAATCCTTTTTAAAGTATTGGTATGAAAACAGATTTGTGTTGCCCTGATATTGGAATTTTAAAACTACCCACAGTTTAAGGGAAAAACATAACTGGGTAAAAAAGGCAGCCAATAAAACCACAATTTGAAATTAATACCATTTTCTATTCACAATGGATGATGAAAAATTTTACCTTTAAAGGCATGTAATGGGTCAGAAGTTGTAACATTTACCATGAAAAAATGACATAAGATATATAAGTTAAAAATGGCTCCTTGGTGAGGTCTGTCTGGGAGCCGACTGCCTTACAGATACAGGGTACTGGTAATGGGTCTTGCCAAGTTTTCAGCAATGGTATAACCTAGAGAAGTTCATGCAACTTTGTTGAATGTAGTTGACTTTTCAGATTTGTAAAAGAAGGTAGAAGGCAAATGTTAATTTGCCAACAACTAATATCCTTTTCTAAATCAGATCATTCCTTTGTTTGTGTTAAGTTTATCCTGTAATTTCAAATGACGTTAAAAGGTGGGATTATTTGGGGTTTTTTGTTTACAGATGATCTCATTTGCTGAATGATTTAAGAGTAAAATTAGCCACTGCGTGGCTTTGTGTATAGTGACTGGTTTTGTTGGACTCATCTGTGGCTGAAACACTTCCCTGCAGTGGAAAGCCGAGCAAGGAGGAGGTAAACATTGGAGATGTTTGTTAAAATATTACTCTTACCATGAATGAGAAAAGACTAAGTAACTTAATCCATCTCAATTTAGTGTTTTAATAAAAAAAGAACCTAATATTTGAAATGGGTCTCAGACATGTCTACAAATATGGGTACTATTTTTATGCCCGTGTATTTTCACATTTAATAAAAATATTTATGGTCATATCAGTATTTCCTTGCTTTTGATTCATTTTTGTCATCTTTGAAAATAAAACTCTTAAAGTCCATCTTAGAAGTCTATTTCCAACTTTGCTTCATGCAAAGTCAGTGACTGAGGTGACAAAAGGGCTCTTCGTTTACACAAGTTGACAGTGAAGGTCAGAGCACACAAAGCAGAAAAGACTCAAATCTCTTAACCCCCAAAAGTCCTAGGACTTAAAAAGTGGACAGTTCTTCAGTACTATTAAAATATAACACCGAAATTCGCTTTGTCTGAAGATTTCCTCTTTTATATCCTATTTGCACATTCCTGTTAAGGCCCTAAGTTGGGAGGGAGGACACTGTAGCCTATCTCAATCAAATGTCCAACTACAAACAAAAGGAACTGTCTTCTCAGTTAATGTATTCTGCAGCTCTTAAGATTCAAGGAGAGCTAGGATCTATAAATGTGTATAGAACTTTTCCAGAAAGCTCAAAGCTTCCAAATTCCTAATCCTTGTGACATTGTGGCACTATATGAGCAGCCAGCCTGAGTCTGAAGATAGATAAACAGCATGAACACGTGCAGCAGGCATGAGGGCTGCAGGGAGACTGCAAGAGGAAGGGAGGTCCAAGTCCTCTTCCCGGAGCCTCAGGAGCTCTCACTGAGCAGGCACCAAGCCCGCTCCCCTGCCCCGAGGCCCAAATCGGTGCCTCATGATCTTTTTTTTAAAAAAAATTAATCTTAATGCCAGCTTACAGTTCACACCTCAAAGACCCTGAACTCTGCAAACCCTTTTATGCTGAGCAAATCCTTTGGGAATGCCTCTATGATAAAAAGAAGCTTAATATGCATATTAATTTATTACCTTATACTAGGATTCTGTTTCTAATAAATCATACAGCAGACAACTCAGGTTGCATGTCTGTTTTGAACACATTTCCAGGCCTCACTCAGGTCCATTTTCCCTAAGCAACCCTCTGACAGATAATCCCAGGGACTGGGCAGCTGTGACTTGGAAGAGCCTGGGAACATTAGTGCTAAGGAAGTTCTGAGGAAATCAGAATTGAACATATTTAAAAAGCATAAGGGAGAAACTATTGCTTGCAGCATTTCTGAGTGGATTTCATACTGTTCTAATTCTTCTTGGCATTTATATACTTCCTTGTATTACAGATTTATATAGGTATATCTTTGTGTACAGTGTGCCATTTGTAGGTACAGTTAAAAAGGATTTTTCCTTCTTATACTAGTTTCCCTAAATAGATGTAATTTTGTTCCCAAGTATGAAGATGCTTTAACTCTAAAGAATTATCCTTGTAACAGATACTTTAGAGCTAAAGCATCTTTATACTTAAGAGCAAAATTACATCTATTTAGGGAAACCGGTATAAGAAGGAAAAATTCTCTCTAAAGTGTCTGCTAAAAGGATAATTCTTGGGCTGGGCGTGGTGGCTCACGCCTGTAATCCCAGCATTTTGAACCCAGGAGGTGTAAGTTGCAGTGAGCCAAGATCATGCCACTGCACTTCAGCCTGGGTGACAGACTCTGTATAAAAAAAAAAATGATTAATTCTTTTAACAAATTATGTACATTTCACTGTGTCAGGTTTTCTTAGGATTTTATTAATACCCTGTCACTTCATATATACCTCCTATTGCACTATTTTTGTTTCCTGCAATGTTTGTGGCTTTGTTACCTCAAGTTAAAGTAGAAAGACTTCACTCTATGGTTGTTTAATGTTTGTGCAAACAAAATAGCATCTGTTCCTCCTACTGAATGCAGAAACTTAAGCAACTGTAGAATGGAGGGAGGGCTCTCCCTGTAGAACAGGGCCTCAGATTAGGAAATTTATTATGGGTGTTGTGCAATTAAAAAAAGCATTAGCAAATCTAGAACTTTTGCCCCAAAAGTTAGTACTGCTGTTATGAATAAGTATTAGGAAACAATGCAGGCATAAAAATATTCACCGAGCAGTTTAGGATTTAATGAGTAGATGTTAGCCCTTCACCGCACTTAAGGATCAAATAACAAAAGCTCTTCACGTGGTTCATAAACTCACTTGTCGCCCAGGCTCCAACCTCATGGGCCTTCTTTCAGTCTCAAATGAACAAAACTCCTTCCATACTACTCCTTCTTCCTGGCTAATGCTTACTCTTACTTCAGGTTTCATCCTGAAATGTTACTTGTTAGGTCTGTCTTGACACTTGCCCTTCACAACATTTTCATTTGGATATTCATGTCTGTCATTTATACTGTCTCGTAACCTGAAGAGGGCAGCTTGGCACATAGTCAGTACTTAAATTATTTGTTGAATTGTTGAAATATTCAATCTGTTCAGGGCAGAGAGACCTACTACATTACTGGCCTTATTTAGATGAAACTTTTTAGAAATCGTTTTCTGGTGGAAGCAGACCATGGGGAAACAAAGGAAAAGCTACATACCAACGTGAGGAAGATGACGCATCAGGGGTCCGTTGCAGGCCATTTGTATGGAAAGTCGTTTCCATCTGATGCTCTAGAATATACACTACTACAGGATTAGTTCCATTTATTTCAACATTCATCTTTCCCACTAAAGGTAGTATGAAAATTATTCCTCCTCTCCTTTTTCTAAAAACTTTAAACATAAGGTTGGTCTGGAACCTTTGTCACTCAAATAACGTTTTGGTTTGAAGCCCATCTTTAACATCTGAGTAATTTTTCAATTCTAATAAAAACTTTTTATTTTAAAAGTAAAATCACATCAGGTAGGATACAAACCTTACATAGTTGGGTAGATCCATGTGATTGAAGTAAACTTCTTAACTTCAAGTAACTATGAACTGTAGAGGACAAGATTATTTTCCAAATCTGGTATCTTTACAACAGAAGTGTTAATAGTTTTTTTTGGGGGGGGGGCTGGTTAAGTGGTGGAAAGTTTAATAGAAGAAAAGAGGAGAGCAGCTCCTTGTGAGAGAGACAGAGACATCTGAAAAAAAAAAAAGATGTTACTCGTTTTAAGTCAAGAGGCTTTCCCTTAGAATTTCTCAGAAAATAGAAGTTTATATTTGGTAAATGGGATTAACAAACTGAGAAAATGGGGAACAGCTGTCACATTACCATAACACTTGAAGACTTTTAAGAAAGACTGGTTCTAGGATGGGCTTGCGCACCTGATCGAGCCCCTCTAACTTACAAAGTTGCCTGTAATTTGAACTTTGTCCATCAAAGCCTTGGACGGTCATGTTTCCTCTTCCTCACTTTGCTACCAAAGGTGAGATCTTAACCAATCAACTGGTTCTTTGGAAGTGAGTGGAGCCCCTTCCATCTATGAAGTCAAGTAACAGAAGTGGGCAAGACAATGACTGGGTCATAATTTCTGCTTGTTGGTTTGAGCATGGGGCCATCAGCACCTTTCACTTCATCTCTGAAACTATGGATCTGAGACACATGATCCACGTGTTCATCTGACTTGCCCTGTACCTCCTGCCTCTGAAAGTATTCTGCTGGGTCCCTGGAGCCTCTTCTGGGTAGTGGCAGTTTCTTGTCTGGTTGCTTCTCAGGTGCTGGAGTCAGGATCTGGCACAGAGCAACAAGCATTTCTGTGGGCAGGTCCTACCTGTGTCAGACTACATGTTCAATAATAAAAGCCTGATGTTATCCTAATTCCAGGCTGACATGGCTTGAAGTGCATTTTGGAGGTATTTGGTGCTATTCTTCTAGGAGCTATGTTCTTTTCCAGGAACTTGAGGGTAACTGGAGTCAAATGATAGGCACTTCCAAAATAAAACCTCTTGGACCTAAGTGTTGGAGGTGGGATGCAGACTTTGGATGGTCTTAATGCTCAGATTCTGGGTCTACTTTCTACATAAAGCTCACACATCACTGTGGGTCAAGCAGAAATGCTTCTCATTCTTAAACTGGTCTGACACTTTTTTCTAAGAAGGCAGAAAGAAGAGATATATGACTTCTCATAGTTAGAAAATTGTTTCCCCCATCCCCCTGACCTCCACTCCTTCCAGGATTTGATTTTTGTTAAAACTTGACATAGGGCCTGCAGCCGAGAACCAGAATTTGGGATCCTGAATATACTGTGAAAGCCGCTGGACTATATTTATTCAGCATCTCCAGGACAATGGAACTGAACAGCTTTCTCTTCAAGTGTTACCAGATACTCAAGCAAGACCTATGGTTCAGTGATGTAATGTGTCCCTGAGGAGGTACGTTTCTGTATGGCATAGCAGTTTGTATGCATGAGAGCTCTTGACATAACAGCATTTTTAAAACCAGCCATCTAATTAAAATATCTCACTGTAAAGAAATACCTTATTTATAAATCTGAATTTTCTGATATAAAGTATCCCTCACCTGGAAATGAAACACGTAAACTGGCCACTCAGATCACAAGATACAAACAGGGAGGGGGGCCATCAAGACTGTTTACATTGTTCTGCAATTTTAGCTTAATACTCCATGAAAATATGGGATCTAGAATACTGGAGGAGGAGTAGTTAATAGAAGTAGGAATCCAGTGTCTCTGTCCAGCTGATCATTCTCTCTATAAGATTCTCATAGAAGTGAAGACAGGGTGGTAACAAAGGAAAGCAAAGTACCATCTTACAGTCATCGGGGTTTGTGCTCCAGCCACCGCAGCAGACCTCTGGGTAGCTGGGTGGAGCATCTGGCCTGACCTAGAAACTTACAAAGTCTTACCTCACCAATCTCCAGCTACAGCTGACTCCCAGGAGTGAGCAGAGAGCACCATGGTGTTGGCTGACCCAGGACCACTTACTGCTCCAGCCTCTGAGAGTACCCTGTAAGATACTGTGAACTCACAAGAATAACCTAGTTCCACCAAAGCAGGCCATTTTAACATAAACACAAACAACAAAGGAAGGATGACTGGGAGAGAGAGAGGGAGAGGCAGGCACTCTCTTATTAGGAATGAATGGAACTGATGGGAAGAGTAGTATTTTAACTCTATGGGCTGTTCTGTCAAATATAGCCCATAGAATTAAAATAATACTCTTCCCATCAGCTAATACAGAAGGATCAGCCTTGTTCTGAAGAGCACACAGGAGTGAGCTTCTGGCTCATGATTGAACTGTGTGTACAGAGCTGTCTAAAGGTGGACCAGCCTGTCTCCAGAGGCAGAGAATTCCCTGTTGTCCTGGAATTTCCAAGATGGCTTGAGCCTCAGCTTTACAGGTGGGGCCTTAGAAAAGGGGCTGGCACATTGGCTGGGGGCCAAACTATTAAATGTTTCTCAAACTTGTCTTATTACAGAACCACCTGGAGAGCTTTTTAAATGATTATGATTTACCAAGCTTGCTTTAGACCTAATGAATCAGACTTTTCACAGGATGGGGTCCAAATGGCACTGAGTTCTCTTCCAATCCCATGATCCTATGATTTTAGAATAGTTGGATAGTTTTTAAACATTTACTAGTCTTATTCATCTGTTGTTAGTACACATCAGGAAAACAAAGTGTTTACATCCTTACTTAGGTTCCCACAAAAGTACCTCATCCTTTAAAAAAAAAATACACATATATCCCACATACCGATGAATAGTTTTTATGACATAAAATTAGAAACATTAAAAAATCCAAATACCAAATACCACATAAGATTAAAACATCATATGGTTTAAGATAAATGATTATTGTGTAACAATATTACTTCCACGTTAAAACAATAGTTAAGGTACAAATGGCCTTAATTATTATTTACTATTGTCTCAGGAGGAAAAAAATACAAAATGGGTTCCTGTAATTTTGAATGCATTTAGGTAATTTGATTTTTTAATTATTTTTTTGAGACAGAGTCTCACTCTGGTCACTCAGGGTGTAGTGCAATGGCATGACCTCGGCTCACTGCAACCTCTGCCTCCCAGGTTCAAGCACTTCTCCTGCCTCAGCCTCCTAAGTAGCTGGGATTACAGGCACCCACCACCACAGCCAGCTAATTTTTTTGTATTTTTAGTACAGACAGCATTCCGTCATGTTGGCCAGGTTGGTCTTGAACTCTTGACCTCAGGTGATCCACCTGCCTCGGCCTCCTAAAGTGCTGGGATTAGAGGCGTGAGCCACCGCACCAAGCCTAAATGCATTTCTGTAATTTTAAATGCATTTTGTGAATAAGGAAATGTAGATGCACATAAAACTAGATATAAAAGGCTACAGTTTGCTAAACACCATCTAGTCAGGTACCTGGGCTATCTGGTAAAACATCAAACTTTAACTGGTGATCAGGAAAAAGGAACAATCAGGTTTTAAATACTCAATGGTCATTTATTATAAAACTTAAACTTATTCAATACATTAAATACATGTGTTTTAAATAATTACAATTTTTAAAAATTAAAGAATATGTCACTGATCTTAATGAGACTTCCAAATAGTCTGAGCAGTGGCTCCACACTTCCTGCACGCGGAAGATTTCCTGTCATGCTTTCACCTTCCTTCTGATATAAATCAGTGCTAGAGTTCATCATGTGTTAAAACTGTAGGGGAGAAAAGTTTATTTAGTTCCTGGAATCTTAAACATAAAATTATCTTAAATATTACTTACATGTGAGGAAGGACCGATGTTGACTGAGGATCCTTTACTTGCTAGTTCGGTACCTATATGCTTCATTACACAACATGAGAAGAGCTCTTTGTACACTGTGATGTCTATTATATTGTACTCATCTTTTAAACTACTTGTGATGTCTATTATATTGTATCACAACTACTTGTCTTTTAAATCCACCTAGACTGTGGGCTCCCATGAGGCTATGAGGATAAGGAACATACCTTACTTATCTTTGTTATCTTTAGGATCTAGTATCCTGCCTGGCAGATAAGAGGTCTTGAAGAATACTAACAGATTATTCACAGTGAATATAGTATTCTAACCTTAATGTAATGGAACAACAGAAAGCAGAGGACATATTAATATATAGCCATTGTCTAATATGGGAGAACATAGCACAGTGACTTAAGTACTACATAAACGCAAGCGCAATTCTGATGAAGACTCAGCAAAATGGTCTCTGCATCACTAAGCTGTCACATACCAACTGATTTTAATTAAAATGCATGCTGTTCTACAATTCAAGATGGCAGACTATGTTTCTTCACTAAATTCTACTGAAAAGATAATAAATGTAAAAAGGAAAAACAATAATGAGAATGAGGGAAGTGGTTACAAGAAATTGTTGGGGCAAAGTTATAAATGAATCTCAAGAAATGGGAAACAGGGATAGACTGCATAAAACAACTTCATCCCAGAATACACAGCTGAGATGATGAGCTGGCTTTCCTGATGGAGGAAGCTGGGAGAGGCTACTAACAGGAACTCCAGTGGATAGTGAGTCGGACAGTGAAACAATTAAATGGACTGTCTGAGGAAAATCCATGCCTGTCAGCTCCCCACTCTTCTTCTTCTGAATCCAGGAGAGAAACTGACAGACTGGTATTTATCCTAAGATAAAAAGTGGAAGTCTATTTTTGAAAGCAAATGGAACAATTCTGACAGTGAGAGACAAAAAGGGAGAAATAAAGGGTGGGAGAGGGAGAGAAAGAGGTATTTTTATGTGGGTGTCTGCTCTTGAGTAAGGCACCCTCATTTGGGCTTTTATGGTGGCATATAGGATGGCCTTTGATCTGTTCCATGACCATTCACCTAGAAGGAGGCCTGCCAGCTGTACACCATGGGTTAATTAGTAATTAACTCTCCCATTTGGGGAAGAAGCCTATTGGAGAAAGAAACACATTTAAACTCTGGCAGAGGAAACGACACCAGTTATTATATTGATCAATCTAATCTTTTATTCTTAAATATAAACACAAACAGCCAAAGATCTCTAGGTTTTTGAGGAAGACCAATAGGAAAACAAAAAAAAGGGTAAAGATGAACACATAAAGTAGCTTACTGTAAGGAAACAAAAAGGAACTGAAAAGAACTAAAGTGATATTTAAAACAATTCTAATTGATATTTTCAGGGGATATTTGAAAAGTCAATGAAATGATAAAAGAAGAATAGAGATTGCTGGCAAGATGGCCGAATAGGAACAGCTCCGGTGCGCAGCTCCCAGCAAGATTGATACGGAAGGTGAGTGATGTCACATTTCCAACTGAGGTACTTAATTCATCCCATTGGGACTGGCTGGACAGTGGGTGCAGCCCAAGGAGGGCAAGCCAAAGCAGGGTGGGGTGTCGCCTCACCCAGGAAGCACAAGGGGCTAGGGAACTCCCTCTTTTAGCCAAGGGAAGCCACTAGGGACCGTCCTCTGCACTCCGGCCTAGATATTGCACTTTTCCCACAGTCTTCACAACCAGCATACTAGGAGATTCCCTCCGGTGTCTATGACACCAGAGCCCTGGGTTTCCCGCACAAAACTAAGACACTGAGCTAGCTGCAGCAGTTTTTTTACTCATACCCCAGTGGCACCTGGAACGCAAGACAGAACCATTCACTCCCCTGGAAAGGGGGCTGAGCCAGGGAGTCAAGTGATCTGGCTTGGTGGCTCCCCCCACAAAGACCAGCAAGCTAAGATCCCCTGGCTTGAAATTCTTGCAGCCAGGACAGCAGTCTAAGCTCGACCTCGGACATTCAAGCTTGGTGGAGGGAGGGGCATCTGCCATCGCTGAGGCTCGGGTAGGCAGTTTTATAGTGTAAACAAAGTCGCCAGGAAGTTCAAACTGGGCAGAGCCCAAGGCAGCTCAGCAAGGCCTCTGCAGGCGGACTGTGTCACTAGACTCCCTCCTCACTGGGCAGGGCATCTCTGAAAAAAGGCAGCAGAACATCAGGGACTTACAAATAAACCCCCACCTTTCTGGGACAGAGCACCTGGGAAAAGGGGTGGTTGTGGGTACAGATTCAGCCGACTTAAACGTCCCTGCCTGGAAGCTCTGAAGACAGCAGGGGATCTCCCAGCACAGTGTTCGAACTCTGATAAGGGAGAGACCACCTCCTCAAGTGGCTCCCTGACCTCCATATATCCTGACTGGGAGACACCTCCCAGCAGGGGCCTATGTACTCCTCATAAAGGAAAGCTCTGGCTGGCATCTGGTGGGTACCCTTTGGGATGAAGTTCCCAGAGGAAGGAATAGGCAGCAATCTTTGCTGTTCTGCAGCCCCTACTGGTGATTCCCAGGCAAGCAGGGTCTGGAGTGGACCTCTAGCAAACTCCAGCAGACCTGCCACAGAGGGGCCTGACTGTTAGAAGGAAAACTAACAAACAGAAATAGTTTCAACATCAACAGAAAGGATGTCCACTCAGAGACCCCTCTAAAGGTCACCAACCTCAAAGACCAAAGGTAGATAAATCCAATGAAAATGGGAAGAAACCAGAGCAAAAAGGCTAAAAACTCCAAAACCCAGAATGCCTCTTCTCCTCCAAAGGATCACATCCCTTAACCAGCAAGGGAAAAAAACTGGATGGAGAATGAGTTTGATGCACTGACAGAAGCAGGCTTCAGAAGGTGGGTAATAACAAACTTCTCTGAGCTAAAGGAGTGTATTATAACCCAATGCAGGGAAACTAAGAATCTTGAAAGAAGGTTAGACAAAATGCTACCCAGAATAACCAGCTTAGAGAAGAACATAAACAATCTGATGAAGCTGAAAAACACAGCATGAAAACTTTGTGAAGCATATACAAGTTTCAATAGCTGAATTGATCAAACAGAAAAAAGGATATCAGAGACTGAAGATCAACTCAATGAAATAAAACAAGAAGACAAGATTAGAGAGAAAAGAGTGAAAAATGAACAAAGCCTCCAAGAAATATGGGATTACATGAAAAGACCAAATCTACATTTGATCAGTGTACCTGAAAGTGTTGGGGAGAATGAAACCAAATTGGAAAACACTCTTCAGGACATTATCCAGGAAAACTTCCTTAACCTAGCAAGGCAGGCCAACATTCAAATTCAGGAAATACAGAGAACACCACTAAGATACACCTCGAGATGAGCAACCACAAGAGACATAATCGTCAGATTCACCAGGGTTGAAATGAAGGAAAAAGTGCTAAGGGAAACCAGAGAGAAAGGTCAGGTTACTCACAAAGGGAAGTGCATCAGACTCATGGCAAATCTCTCAACAGAAACCCTACAAGCCAGAAGAGAGTGGAGGCCAAAATTCAACATCCTTAAAGAAAAGAATTTTCAACCCAAATTTCATATCCAGCCAAACTAAGCTTCATAAGTAAAGGAGAAATAAAATCCTTTACAGGCAAGCAAATGCTGAGAGATTTTGGCACCACCAGGCCTGCCTTACAAGAGCTCCTGAAGGAAGCACAAAACATAGAAAAGAACAACCAGTACCAGCCACTACAAAAATATACCAAATTGTAAAGATCATCGACACCATGAAGAAACTGCATCAACTAATAGGCAAAACAACCAGCTAACATCATAATGGCAGGATCAAATTCACAGATAACAATAGTAACCTTAAATGTAAATGGGCTAGTGCCCCAATTAAAAGACGTGAGCTGGCAAATTGGATAAGGAGTCAAGACCCATTGGTGTGCTGTATTCAGGAGACCGATCTCAGATGCAAAGACATATATAGGCTCAAAATAAAGGGATGGAGGAAGATTTACCAAGCAAAAGGAAAGGAAAAAAGAAAAAACAGAGGTTGCAATTCTAGTCTCTGACAAAACAGACTAAACCAACAAAGATCAAAAGAGACAAAGAAAGGCATTACACAATGTCAAATGGATCAATGCAACAAGAAGAGCTAACTATCCTAAATATTTATGCACCCAATACAGGAGCACCCAGATTCATAAAGCAAGTTCTTAGAGACCTACAAAGATACTTAGACTCTCACACAGTAATAATGGTAGACTTTAACACCCTACCATCAATATCAGACAGATCAACAAGATAGAAAATTAACAAGGGTATACAGGACTTGAACTCAGATCTGGACCCAGTGGACCTAATAGACATCTACAGAACTCTTGACCCAAAATCAACAGAATACACATTCTTCTCAGCACCACATCGTATTTATTCTAAAACTGACTACATAATTGGAAGTAAAATACTCATCAGGAAATGCAAAAGAACGAAAATAACAAATAGTCTCTCAGACCACAATGCAATCAAATTAGAACTCAGGATTAAGAAACAGTCAAAACCATATATCTACATGGAAACTGAAAAATCTATTCCTGAATGACTACTGGATAAATAATGAAATGAAGGCAGAAATAAAGATGTTCTTTGAAACCAATGAGAACAAGACACAATGTACCAGAATCTCTGGGACACATTTAAAGCAATATGTAGAGGGAAATTTATAGCACTAAATGCCCACAACAGAAATGAGGAAAGATCTAAAATCGACACCCTAGCATCACAATTCCAAGAATTGGAGGAGCAAGAGCAAACAAACTCAAAAGCTAGCAGAAGGCAAGAAATAGTTAACTAAGATCAGAGCGGGACTGAAGGAGATAGAGACACAAAAAAAACCCTTCAAAAAATCAATAAATCCAGGAG